GTGCTGGAAAGCGATACTCATGGCGCGACCTACTGTGTCTTTTGGTCGTGGTACACTCGTACTTTCAAAGACTGCTGTATACAGATGTGAAAAAATTCCGCTGGGCTTTTCTGTTCGAGTCAAAAGACACCGGCTGTGTGAGCTTGGGAACGTCACACCGCAGCTATATGGGTTGGCCCTACTGCCTACTCTTGTTTTTCATTTTGCATCACTCCTTTTGATGACACCTTGCCATCATTCGCCCCCTCCGGAGGGATCGGGCAAGACCAGAAAGTAAAACAAGCGCAGCATAGAAAACCGTCGTGGGCGAAATGTTTTGATTGAATAAATATGTTGAAGGATGACATAGACTACATATTGCGCAGTATGGATTATCTTAGAGTATCGTTGTACATTGGCTGAACAAGAAAAAATCCAGAATGGCACCAGAAGATATATGCTGTAGTCTAAATCCTTGGCGCACCTGCGCATCCTTGGGCACAAGCTCCGGCGGGATCTCCACCCGCTCCACAATCTTGATGCCCTGGGGTAGGATACAAAACACACACAAATAGCCACCAACGATGACAGTCAAGACGCAACGACCGAACACAGTCGAGGCAAGAAGAAGGTGTTGAGGGGACAGAGTTCCTTCATACGGCTGTAGCTTCGCTTCCAACAACAGCAGCAGTTTCCTTCATACTACTGTACCTTCGCTTCCAACAACAACAACAGCAGTTTCCTTCGCACTGCTGTACCTTCGCTTCCAACAGCAGCAGCACAAGTCCAGGTGTGTATACTCACGAGACTGCAGTACTGTAAATAAACGTTTTCCACTGCTGTAAATGGTAAGCATACAAGACCTGCTACAGGTCTATGCGGTTACAAATGACGGGGCGACGGGCACGTGATGATGACAGAAAAAGCAAAAAGAATCCCTGCTCTTTCAAGAAAAAAAAAAAAAAACACGTGTGAAACACGAGGAGTAACACGAGGAGTTTCTCACGTCGAGCCCAACCTAGACTTCTACTTCTACCTTGTTATCCAAGGGCCACTACAAAGGACTACCGATCTCTTGACGTGCTTTGTACAGTCCTCTCGTGCCGCATTCCTAGTAGATCGTCTCCAATCTTTGTCGCGTAAATACCTTTCATGAAGGGATTACACCGTTTCCAACCTTTCTTGTCACACACAATAGATCGTGTCCATTCTTGTCGCACACATACTACAATCATCAGTGTATAGGCTTAAACACACTCGAAATAAGTCCAGTATGTACCCTGCCGGTTCTCCTCCATTCACTGAAAAGACTCCCAACACATCCCGTTCGACGGCGGGCATATCTCTAACGGGTAGTCTTTCTGTGTTTGTGTTTATTTTTCCTAACACATTTCTCATGGAAGGATTTTCTCAGGTACATTACATGCAAAAGTCGCATATTCGTTTTTGTTCTGTTCTGTTCTGTTCTTTCTTACCGTGGAGACGATGGCGTCGTACTTCATGTCGCTCATGGAGATGAAACGGTGGATCTTCGTCACCCCAAGCCAGTGAAGAGGGTCAGGCATCATGGACTGGAACCGCGTGTCTTGGATGCCCGCAACCTGGGAAACAAAAAAATAAAGACAGAAAATGATGCAAAGCAAGAAAGATTGGCATCGTCATCGTGTGGTGATATTAACAACAAGAGCCATGGAGACGAAG